CTGATGTAGGTATATACATGCGCACTCTGTTATACGGTACGAGAGAGCAACAGCAGTTTCTGGTCACAACATTCTTATAGAGCCAGTTGTCATTTCGTCTCTATCACATCTGCACCGCTGCGGCGCGTAAAATCCGAGCTTACGATCATCCCTCTCCCCTTTGACACTTTGATTCTACCTTCGCAAATACGTAACTATGTATAGCACTTTGACGTAAAATCACGTTGATCAATATAATGTTACAAATGCGTAATATCGAGCTATTGTGGATTAAAATCACGCTAATGGTTATACATGAGGTAAAGGTAAAAAGTCGAAGAAAGTAATTTAGCAACACGGGCATCGATGTAGATGCAAACACAAATTACATAGACCGACCACGAGTGTGTAGGGCGTTGGTGCTCATAGGGGGAGAGCTGAACCCCCCTCTATGACATCTACGCGTATTATGATATACGTGGGTGGTGACGATGGTTGGGGTGCCACGAACGCGAATTCAAATTAAGGACGCGCAACAGGGGAAATTACAAGTGGCAATGGTATAACGACGACTATATACGTATATACACCTATTAAATGTATGCTCGTTTTCGTGTATATATGTACACATATGCGATCATGGTGGTAATCCCGTTTTAGACGGTGTAGAGACAACCGCAGTTGAAATTTGAATGTCGATGGAAGCCCATACCCGGAAATCGTTTAACAAAAACCATCCGAATATTGCTCTGAGAATTAGAATGACCAATATGTGTATACTTGATAGTTTCCATTCGAAAATACTACGAGTTTTCAAAGCTTGGGTTTCAGCTATCGATTGTCCTTATTTTTCCTTTAATATTATTTTGTTCTTTTCCTATGAAAATGTAATAAAATGATGTGATCCCAGCAGATCTACAACGAGTGCTATGCTACGCATGCATGTGCATGTTTTAATATTATTTTCTCGGCGCAGCTCAAGAGTACATGTATAAACACAACCGATACAGCTTTTAATGTAAATATTCATCGGGATTTTCATTTGATACGGGGTCAATTCGCTGATACCATCAGGTTAAAAAGTAGTGCATCCAACGCCCTATACACCATTGTTACCTTTTATTTATTAGCTACTTTCTCGATCTGCGTCGAGTGTCGAGTTTATAATAATTATACATCATAGAATGTATATTTTGCAATAGATTAATATAATACACGCCACTAGCGCATAGGTACATCGTTGTTTGTATATGGCTTGAAAGATTTTATGCTTTAAAAAGTTAAATGTATAAAAGCTATTTGCAAAAAAAGAGGGAAATAATAAAAAATAAATCGTTGATGGGCGTGGAGTAAGAGTGAACGGATAAGTTGACTCCACATTTACCTCTCACTTTTATCGCTAGTGCTGCAACTTTTTTTCAAACATCTCGACTACCTGGCCGTTTTTCCCTTTTTACCTATAAAATAAGAGCTCCATCCTGCGGATCACAGCTATCACCTGATCCAATTTTATCAAATGCTCTCGAGAATTTTCTTTCCCTTATCCTGACGCTATCTATTAATAATCATACTCTCGCCACTACGCTAAACGTCATTTTTTATTTATTTACTTATTCTCTTTTGCACGGTGACCGCTAATAAAAATTAATTTCTCAAATTGGTCCTTTGGCTGGCTTCATACTAGGTTGGAGAAAAATTTGTTGGCCCCATGAAACTTTATTTTCCAAAGATATTTTGAGGTTTCAACGATCAGACAGCCAACTCTTTCAATGTGACTATTTTTTCGTTCAGCCTTTAAAATGAGCACTACTTTTATCGCACCTACTTTAACAGTCATGAATGTAAGTGCCTCCGTGAAATCGATAAATTTATTAAGGGAAAAGACACGCGAGGCTTAATTACTTACTTGCTACCTTTTATCATTTTAATTGACGCTTTTCAGTCTAATTAAATATCAAACTAAGTAAGTCCCTGTATCTCTCCCTTTTTCATACGCGCAATGAAAATTAAATACTTTAATGACTAAATTAACATTGAAATTGTATTTTTCACCGAATGACCCACAATCGTCCGTCCGTGTCAATTGGGGCTACAGAGGCTATTCAAATGGGTTACTTTTAACTTTGCGATCAGTCTTTAACACTGAAAGCCGCATCTTTTCTTCCCCCTCTCTCTCTCTCTCTCTCTCTCTCATTTGTATTTACCTTATCAAGGCTATTCTGGGACTATGGCCCTTAGCCTAATAAATCTAACTCTAAATCTAAAAAAATCTCTCACTGTACTATTGTTAAAAAATTTCTCAATTAAAGAATAAAGCATTAGCGGAGTTAACTTTATGAGGTAACCGTATAATACATTGGTAACCCTTTAAAATGGTCAATGTCAACTTAAGGTGTATTTTTCCACAGATATGAAAGAAAATGCGATTGGAGGAACGTACAAATCTGTGAACGTATCGATTTATTCGGCAGCTTCGTTATGGTCGTAACATTTACCGAGAAAACAACTAATTAACAATATTTAAGCGGTTTTATATCGTTAAAATTACTTGAGTTCGTGATACGCATGCCTTCAAATTTTGATGAAACGGACGACCGACACATTTATTGGTAAACATTTCGTAATTACGTTATCAACCGCGGTAAAACAATGAAATATTTGAGAAAGCGTGTGTACCAAGAACAAAACCTTCATGTAATTTTCAAGCATTTCTACTTGAGCGCGCATTTCTGCTTCTACAGTATACCGAAGAATCGAAACTATTTCTTCGCAAACGTGGATGTACTGTACGATAGTTCGCACAGAGAAGGGAGCTAGCGGTCGCTTTCTGGCTTATCTTTCCTCGCCTTTTTACAAAATTCTTTTTAAATGATCCGCGTGTGCATGTCTGGAATATCGACGACCCGCCATGGTCTTTATCCGATTTTTCAAGTTTTAGTAGTACCCACCTATGTACACTTTTAGCAAAATCGAGGCTTCGTTATAAATTTTCATCATCGGATCAGCACCTATCAAATAAATGGAACTTCACTGGAAATCAAATCATAGGAAAAGTGCGATTACGTAAGACAAAAATATCTCCTTGTACTATCTCGCAACAACAGTTCGTCTACGTGTGAAAGTGTAGGAGCTCGGAAAGAAATTATTTATCAGGTGGTATTGCAAGCTCAACGTCTCGGTAGTTTTCTGCTCTGTTGGTGCGTTACTTTTTTCTCTACGCCACGTTTGACATACTCACAATAAAAAAAAAAAAAAAAAAAAAAAAAGAATTTGCCTCTCGGTTCTGCGAGCTCAAGTTTTTTATATCCTTTCTTGAAATTATAAGCGTTTCAACGTCGGTTTCAGAACATTATCCCTGCCATCTAGAAATGAAGTGCTTTTTTTTCGCAACGAGAGCTTGTCTTCGTTTCGTGACGCGTTTGTTATATTTTACTTTTTCTTTCTCTCTATTTTTTTTCTTTCTTTCTTTTTTTTTTTTTTTTTCATCTCTCAACGCTTTTACTTACCCTCGACTCGTTTGGAAAAAATTTTTCAATACCACACACCTTTTCGGCATTTGGATGTGTTGGGACGAGGTAAAATATACCACGATTAAAAGCAACGAGCTTATTGTTGCTGGCACTTTTATCTCTCGTTATTTTACCATCGGAAAAAGAGCGAGTGAGTGTGTGTGCGTAAAGCGAAAAAGTAGGTTGACTTGAAGATTTTTGTTCTCCTCTTTTTCTGGAAGCAAATAAGACACACGCGAGCAGTAGCGGCAGGAAAGCAGCAGCCTCGAGAGGAGTTATCACGGATGACGGAAAAGATAACGAAATTCACTCGAGAGAGGGAGGGGGGGGGTTACCTTCGGACGGGGAGAATAACGGAGTTTGCTCCGAGGGAGGCTGGATAAGCAAGGCAAGAAAATCCGGATGGGAAAACAGAGACAAAAGAATCTTCTTTCTGCTCGCCATATTGTTCGAGACTTTATCGAATTACGGGTGGGCGTAGCGAAGCTTAGCCCCGCGTGAGCGACTTGACTAATTGCAAATATATTAAACGTATGCTCGCGTGCACGTCGCGTTTTATTAAATACTACCCGACGACGCGGTGGTGATGAATATCAAAACGAGGCCTGAGCTCAATTCTTGCGGGCTAACCGGATACTATTGCTTTTGTTGTGGCACGCGTTTTGCCGGTTTCCCTTCGTACGCGCTCGTTTCTGATGGTATACTCTGTCAGTGAATCGATGGTAGATTATTTACATACTCAATACATACAAGATCCAGTTAAATCCTTTATTTTTACACCATGGGAAGAAAAAAAAATTAAATTAAAGGTAACGTGAATTTACGTTTCAAACCATGTGCATTTGAAAGACATGCGTGTACGTGACTCTGTTTGTTCATTTGTTCGTTTAAACGAGGGCATTGCGTGCAACCGTGAATGTACATAACTTTTTTTTTTCTTTTTTTTTTCTTCATCGCGTAAAAGTAAAAGCCAACGTTACTGCACCTAATCTAAAAGAAAACATGATTATAATTCTGACATTCTCCTCGAGGAGGTGTTTTCCGCGCATTCGGTGTATCCACTACGTGTGCGTATGTGTGTGTGTGTTTAGCCTACTTGGATGAAGGATATATTGCGCGCGAGAGCCGCGAGAAGGAAACACGGCGCGGATAGCCAAACCAAACAAGAAAATATTTTCAATACCTTATACACTATTCTCGCTAATCGAGTCGACTTGTTGCACGGTATGCTCGATTGACTCATCGTTATCCACTCCGCGATGGAGCAGCGCGCATCGTATCCCCCAACAAGTGCCGACGAGGCCTCTTAATTCAGTCTCAGTTTCTCGCGTCTCGGCATTAAATTTGTGCAACACATCCCAAACTTTTCGAGAACACAGTATTTATAACAATTAAGTAAGAGCCGCGCACTGTATATAGTATGCATTAGCCAAAATAATTACTTTCTCGCGCGTACTGTATCGATGATTTAGATGCAAAAATTCACCGTCTCCCTGCCATTGTCTGTTTCAGAAATCATCGGGAGCGACGGATGCGGAGCCGCCAACACAAGCTCTCCCGGTAACAAGAGACGCGGCTTCAGCGGGTAAGTCCACAATAATATATCACCACGTGTAATTTTCACCTCCAGTGCTATATTTACTTTCACTGTAGTTTTTCGCTCCAACGCGCTGTTGCTCGTTACAATATAATACATATATTGATATAATGTCGTACACATACCTACTCTTACAGGGGAGCTGTATCTTTTGGCGCGGCATACCCGCGTGTTGTTGCTCGCGTAACATTATTTTACCTTTTTAAATTTAGTTTTCCAACTGGAAAATTATTTGCTCGCAAAAATGAAATGGCTCGTTTGCGTCGTGCGACCAATTTGAGAGTAGATCGCATTAAAGTACAGTGCAACGCGTGATTTTCATTTCTCCTCCCCTCGTCACGTTATGCACCTCAGTGTGGAACCGCGGTAAAAAAAAAAAAAAAAAAAAAAAA